TATGCATAATAAATACACACAGTACACACACATATATATCATGTAAACAAAAATGTTTATTTTAGATGCGATTAATCGCAATGAATTGTTTGACAGCACCAGATCAGATGAAGGGAATGCTGCAAAATGGGTATTTATTGAGAACATATTGTTAAAAGTTACAGAAATTGCTTCTTACCTGGTTGCTGTGAAAGGGGTACCCATGTTTATGAGCAAACATCATGCCCAATGACGCTTGGAAACCATAGCCCACCACTGCCAACGCAAGAGCTGTCAATAACAGCTCCTGAGAGACAGAAAATGATGGAAGGGAGGGAGGTGAGAGACTTAGAGGTAAACAAAGAAAGAATTCGTTTTAGCACCTAAATACTTCCTGCTAATTGGTTTTGTATAGAAAATCCAACACTCTGCTGACCCGGTTGGTATGGGTCCAACAATCTGTATTCCATACTGACCGGACAGATCAAACTGCACTGACGACACAGTGGCAAAGATAATCTACGAACATGAAGAATTTATTACTGTTGCACAGAAATATCTTTAAAATACTGAAACCATGCTTTATAAGTCAGCTAACGCAACAGGCAAAACTAAACTAAATTACATTTTTAAACTACAAAATAAAAATAAAAATTGCTTAAAGAAATTAAATAAAAACATACACAAATAAAACAATAAATACCACAAATGGTAGTTTTTGACCTGCCTGTATTAAATGTAATGCATTACACACTAGACTGAGAAATTTAAACACATAAATAAAAGCTAAATAAAAAAATAAAAACCCTTTGCGCACCAGTACCAACTCCCATGGAATGGGAAATCGAGAGCTCCACCGTGAATTCACCATCTTTCCACCAACAAGTATCACCAGGGAGACAAGGGACACTACCAGTGTCGCCAGTAACACTCTGCTGATTCCAGTCACAATGTTTGAAAACATCTGGTGGACACAGATATGTACATTTAACATCTGAGATGAACACAGAGATAAAACACACAGTGCTCATTCTCACCCAGAACACAGCAAAGACGCCTCTGTGTCTGACTATGGAGATGCCCATCAGTAAAGGCAGCTGGTGAACAGTCACATGGACAGCAGCTGCCATAGTGTATCCTCTGACCAACGGCTGAGACAACCACCGACACACCCCTCCACAACGCAGCACATACAGCACAATCTATAGGGAGAGAGATTTATACACAAACACACACACACACACACACACACACACACCAATACAGGATTAATACAGCTTCTGTGTGTTTTACCTGTATCAGTCCACACAGAATGGTCAACTGAGCTGCAAAGGCAACTCTAGCACTTTCAGCCTCAATCTCATGACTCTCTGCTCCGCCGCCTGCCAACACAACATCACCAGCCACCGTACCGACCATGATGGAAAGGACAGAAAAAGTACCTGTGGGTCAGAAAGATATTCAGTCAATCAGATTGAACTGAACGTCAAATCAAATAAGGACAAATCCATTATCATATTAAATAATGTTTAATATTCTTTTTCTCAGATTTTTAAGTTTTTTGTATTATATCTTTTTATTGTATATTTTATTTTATTTTATTATATATGTTATACTTCATTTTATTGTAATGATTTCTTTCATTTATTATTTTATATATATTTCATTTTATTATTTATTATATATTTTATACTTTATTTTATCTTAGATTTATTTTATGTAATTGTAGATTTAAATTTATAATTTATTATATACTTCAGTTTATTTTATAATTTATTTCATTTTAATGATTTATTTCATTTTATATGTATTTCATTTTATGATATATTTTATACTTTATTTTATTTTAGATTTACTGTAATTGTATATATTATGCATTTTAGACTTCATTTTGTATTATATTTTATTATATAAAACAAAATGAAGCATTACATAAATTATATATTTTTTCTATACACATACATACATAGTTAAATATATTTTATACTTCATTTTATTTATATCTTAATTTATTACATTTTTACTTGTTTTACATTTTATTTTAATATGTTTACAGTTTGTTATTTCATATATTTTTATTGTATATATTGTAGACTCGGTTATTTCGTTATTTTATTTAATCTTTTTTATTATTTTATATTTAATTACTTTATTTATTGTTATTATATAATTTATTTTCACTCAAACAACAGTTCATCTGATTTTTTTTTTCATTATTTACAAAAACCCATACATTAATATTTTTCTTGCAAAGTGGAATCGTGTATGTGTGTACAGAATGTATATATACCTGCTGAGAGAGTTTGTTTGTGTACTTACCCACAGAGATGTGTCTGGATGTTCCAAACATGAAGTAGATGAGAACAGGGTAGAAGGAAGAATACAGACCAAACACTGGAGGAACTGCAGCCAACAAAGCATTAGCCATCCCTATGGGAAGCAAAAAGTCAGAAAATGAGTAATTTGTGTGCAGAAGAGTGTGAGCAGTTCTGTACAATAGAATTAGTCATTACATCCACTTTATCTGTCTGGTTTGAATCACAGTGCATTGTGAAGGAAATTATCAGCTGCCAGCTGATAATACAGATCTGTAGGTGTCTAAGATGAGAAACAGGATAATGAAAATCATAACCGACCCCTCACATCACAGACACTTCAAGTGTCTACACTCTCAGAGAACCCTAAAACTCTATTTCGATAGATGTTGACACCTGCATCAACATACATTTTTATATTTTAGAATACAGTTGTCATATAACAGTCTGTAGCTCAAATAACACAGAAGAGGGTGTGCAAGTCTTAAACCTTGTGGCAGATGCATGATTCCCACACTGATTCCTGATATCAAATCTCCAATAGCGTTTTTCCCGAGCGAGTATTGTGGCAGCCATGACAAGAGAGGTGCAATAGACAGGAAGCAGCTCTTCAGTCTTGGACCTGAACACCTGAAGCAGAGAAATATGGGGGTCGGCATGTATATTTAGCATGGAGCGTGTTTATTTTACGATCACAATTATGCTTCTTAAATAAGCTCCCACACTCACCAGCGCTCCTCCTTCAGCTTTGCCCAAATTGTCCGATGCGCCTTCCACCTGCGCTGTCCCAGGATATCTAGCTGTGCTTCATTCAAACCATAAACGGGATTGGGATTGAAATTCTCACACTCTGAACATCTTTGATTGTCCATCTGTAAAAAAGGAGAAAATGCGGCTTAAACAGGAACAAGTGTATGAAATGATTATGTTTCCCAAATGTGAGGTTGTTGTGACTTGGCTTTGAACTCGGAGCAAACCTTATATTATCTTCTCACAGTAGCTAAACCAATTAAACTGGACATTTATAATTGGCTAGAGACAAGAGTCGTTATTCACTTTTCCTCCTACAGGCTACTAAAGGGTTATTTATTGTCTCAGATATTCACCAACAACATTTATCGTTGGATCAGAGAAGGAAGTCTGTCATCGTTTTCGCTCTGATCAAAGGTTAGAAGACTTAATCTACCACTCCTGAGTACAGAGATCATATTACACAACATCACGAGTGACGGCTTGTACTGAACAGACCTGTGTCTATTTTTACTGTAGCACTTTAATAATGTTCACCAGATAATGATTATGCAACTTTCTTGTAGGAGGCAAGGCTGTTTTATCCAATGAGAAGATGAGCTGCTTTAAAACAAATAATACTAGAAACTGACTTTTCTGTCAACTGTTTCTGAAACTTACCCCAAATAGTACAAGCTGAAGCTATAGAAGACATACATCAGTCTATATGCAATGTTTTATTTATATATTTATCTGTACATGAATAGAACTCAACACAAGCAGATGGCAAAACACCACAATGTGTTTTCCACTATTTTTGAAGCCACAAATAAATATAAAGGACATAAATTGTCTAACACACAGTAGTACACAGGTTAAAAAGTATACCAATTACAGCATTTGGTAGGAATGCACTAAATAAAGCATGTAAAACATCTGATCAAAACTAAAGGATTCAGTTTCATAAGTGTGAAAAGACATCAGCAGCCAACACTGATAACATCAAAGCTCATCTGCGCCGGTCAGCCCTCTCTGATAGGAGCACACGTGAGGACAGGTGACTGCACAGGTGCGTGTGCAATTAAACTGGAAATAAGTTTATCTTATCATCAATTAGTTATCTTACCTTGTGTAGAGAATTCACCAAAATCTGTTTTGTGCGTCCAGAGGAAACCACTTTATTATCCCTGTGCACATGACATAAATAGCTCAACAAAACCGCAGGCCACCTGTGGGACGTTTCTCAGCTGAATTTCTCTCCTTAAATATTTTCATTGCTTTCTGTTGTTTAAAGGTCAGATTTAAAATGTTACATCATATATAATTCATCACAAATGCTGCCTCCTTCCTACATAATACACACCATGGTTATTCTCTCCAACTCTATGTTCCTTTGGTTTATATAAGTGTCGACAGTGCTTAAGATCAGAAGGCAAAAAAGGTTGTACATTATCACACCCACACACACTCTAAATATACATTTAACAGCCTTAAAAAAAGTAACAAAAACAACAAACACAAGTTGGGGAATTTCCATTACTTCATTGGTCAGTATATATAGAAAGATTTTATAACAATGTAAAATGTACATTATATTTATGTTTTTACATTTTACATAATTACAGAAATGTGTGCAATTTGTAAAAAAAAAAAAAAAAAAAGTTTCACGGTTTGCACAAAAATATTAAGCAGAACAACTGTTTTCAACATTTATAATAAATGCTTCTTGAGCACCAAATCAGCATATTACAATGATTTCTGAAGGAACATGTGACACTGAAGACTGGAGTAATGATGCTGAAAAATCAGCTTTGCAATCACAGAAAAAAAGTAAATTTTAAAATATATTAAAATCTCTCTCTCTATACATATAGTATCTATCTATCCATCCATCCATCCATCCATCCATCCATCTATCCATCCATCGACAATCTGATGTACATGTGCTTACATTGTTTTTCCACATGATGAATTTCTGCCCTGGATGTGAACTCTCAGTACCATGTTTTTCCTCAGTACTGAAACTGCCTCAGCAACACAGTGAGATCTCTGAGGCGCTCCGCTCTGCTCCGTGCAGACTGGTGAACCGGCAGCTCAAAAAACGAAAACGTGAAGCTACGAGAAAAGCTAAGATTTGTGACTTGCCTCAGAGGGGGCAAACGGGGAGGTCTAGAGGGGTGTCTTGGTGGGAGCGGCTTGCGTTTTACCCTGGCACTCTGACTATTGTCAGGTTCAGTGTTTGTGATTTGAGGAGGGGGTGGTGGGGGCGGAGGATCTGGTGCTGTGATTGGCTTCGAGTGGACAAGAGGAAGGGGTGAAACTGGAGGGGGAAAACTGGTAAAGGACGACTCGGAGTGGGAGGAGCCTTCCCAGGGTGTAATACTGTCAGGGGCCACAGATGAGATGGGAGGATGGCCGCGTTTCCTCGTTTCGGCCTGAGGAGTGGATAGAGAGGGCCTCGCTAAAAACAGAAGAGATGAAAAATATAATAATCAGACCTGTTTCTGCTATTGATTAAAAAAAACTTTATTTCTCATTAAAATTAAAGTTATTTTTTTGTAATTTTGACTACATATCTAAACTGTGTCTATTTCTCGTAATTGCAATGCGACTTTATATTTTATTACTGTGACTTTATTTCCATAACTGCAACTTTATATCTCATAATTGCAACGATTAGATAAAGGTACAATATAGTGATTCTATATCTTGTATTTGCAAATATTTCTCACAATTGCAACTTTCTTGGATTTGTGACTTTATAAACATAATCAGTTTCCTGTTTTGTTGTAGGAACCAGGATCTCATAAATTTCTAAATCCCCCTGTAATTAACTTTATCTCACACACATGTTCAGTTCCCATTATCCTCTCGCCTATCAAGTCACATTACAAAGACGAATGTTTGGACAATAGCAGTTAATTAATTTAGCACCTCCTAAATTTCTATTGTCTATTGATGAGCTCAGGTAACATTGTGTAGACAGGAGGAACAAAGATCAATGTAAACACACAGTTTATATATCACACATCACATTACTTCACATATAATGAGCCCTTAAGTCTGGTTTATGAAAACATCTGATTTCAAGTTAAATCAGCTAATATCTGACAACAACCTCTCATACAACAATGCACTATGGATTCCATATAGACTATAAAAGTACCTGCAGATTTATTTCTTGATGAACGAATCAGAGGGAGCCTATCCTTCGATATCACTGCATTGTCCTGTATAGTGAAACCACACACATAATTATGACTGTTTAAACAATACATTCTATACTTTTCTGCATATTCACTTGTGTATTCAATCCATTTATTGTAATTTTTGCGGAACAGCCATACCTTATTTTCAGCCTCCTTTTTCTTTTGTTTTTGAGGCATCTTAGGGTTCTTCTTTTCAGATTCATCCTCTTTAAGGGCTTCCCGGAATCGTGACATTTTTTTCCCCAAGATCAGGACACATACGCTGTGACTCATTTCAAACAAAAGACAACATTAGCCTCACAACACACAAATTCACACTTTTACTATTGCAGAAATGTTTTTTTATACTCACATTCATTTTTCATCCTCTTCTTTTTCACATTTTGTCTCCTCTTTACATCACATAATAAGATTTTAAAAAGAATATATTCTCATTCCTTTCACATTCTGCAAACCTTAATGGGGCTTATCTGTCTCTGTTAATATCTGTCTCTCCTTCACGTGCTCTTCCCTTCCTCTCTCGCTTTCATTCGTTCAGCTGTGGATTAAAGGGGTTGGCCATCGAGCCACTATAATGATGAACAAAAGGGAACTGGAGAAGGGGGTGAAATATTTATACTTAGTTGCACAGCCAAAGCCCCCCAACACACTGTGTACCCTCTCTCTCTCACTCACCCGCATACACCTGCTGGACTGTAGCCCAGGAAAACATTGATACATTATACGTTCATGACTCTATCTCAAACCTTGAGCTACTCACACACATGCACGCATAAACGGCTGCAACAAAATTATATTTGGTACCATTTAAAAGTTTGGACACACCTCCTCATTCTATACGATTAATATTTTTCACATTATAGAATAATAGTAAAGACATTAAAATAAAAACTAACACAAATTGAACTGTGCATCTTGTGCCAAATATAAAATAAATTCTCTCTCTTTCTCTCTCTCTCTCTATATATATACATACAGTATTGAAGTTTACATCTATCCTGGGCACTTCACTATTTGACCCAACTAATTTATTTTATGATTTTCATACATTTTTTTGTTTTGTAAAGAAATGTATAAATACAGGTGCATCTCAATAAATTAGAATGTCGTGGAAAAGTTCATTTATTTCAGTAATTCAACTCAAATTGTGAAACTCGTGTATTAAATAAATTCAATGCACACAGACTGAAGTAGTTTAAGTCTTTGGTTCTTTTAATTGTGATGATTTTGGTCCACGACATTCTAATTTATTGAGATGCACCTGTACTGTAGATATATTTTATATTTGATATATAATTTAGATCATTTTTAGCATTTCAAGCACAAGCCTCAGTGTTACTTTAGTATTATTTACTATTATCATATTTATTAATATTTCAAATTGGCTTTTATTATGATATTATTTAAATTACAATTTATTTTTAGTAATTAAAAAAAGTAAATAAACTTTTGATTGGTTCTGTAGATCTGTATTGACTTTCATTGTTAAGCCTTACTGACAATAAAAATGTCCTCACAAGGTACTTTACCTGACACAGAAAAATGCTTACATATTAAAAAAAGATCTTTATTTGAAAATCTCAAACTTTACAACTACAAATCTTTAGCATCCTAATTTATAAATCACAAATTAAAGTCAGTGTTTTGTCCTTGAAACATGATGTGGAAATATCACTTTCTTTCTCTCCTCTTCTTTTACTGTCCTGTTAACAGTTTCATGTAGTTTATCCATCTTTCTTTCTGTTAACTGAAACAACTGTAAGCCCTGCCCACAAACAACCACCCAGGCTCCTCTCTCTTGTCCAAACCACGCCCACAACCCAGCTGCATCTGCAGTGTGTGAGAACAGCACCTTCAGTGGGCGGAGTCCGTCACTGTTCACACTCCACAAACACAAGCGCTGGTCCGGTGAGGTGGAAACCAGCAGTGTGGGGCTTAGTAAACATAACCCTGTGAGAGGGGAAGAGTGTGCCAAGGGCACTGACCAATGGGCAAACAGCTGTAGAGACACGCCTCCATTTTCTTGCTTTTTCTCATCTATCTTAATATGCATTAGAGACAGCTGTCCATCATCTCCACCACTGGCCAATGAGATAACATTTTCCTCCATTTGCCTCATTTCTCTCCTAGGTGATATGGTAAGCGCATTGACTCCACTTTGATGGACAGCTATGGAAAAGAACGGGGCTGATGGACCTGAAGCACAGACAGGGTAAATTGTTATTAGCATATACACATTTTAGAGTTCTATAACCAGATTCGACTGTAGGATCTAGGATTGATTCAGTCAGTTTTTATGCTCTTGGGCTTGTAATGAATGAAAAATTATTTTATAAATTTTATACAGACACACATACTCCACCTTTAAGTCAAAACAAATACACTGTAATTTTTTAGACCTTAATAACTGTGGTCTCAATGAGATGTTGTTGTATGAAAAACAACTGCAAGATTCTTAAATAAAATAATAATAACAATAATAAGAATGTTTTTTGGGCACAGGTCTGGAACAATGCAAGTACATAAAGACAGATTTTTTTTTATTTCTGATTGAACATTCCTTTTTAACATGTATAACAAATGCAAACAAATAACATAAATCATTTAAGTTCTTCTTAACTACAGCATAACAAGCACACAGTTATTCAAACATAAAAAAATTCAGCACGTTATTAAGTGTTTATGTTCTGGTGTATGTATGACTCACCCTGCCAGCTGACACTAGCCTTACTGTTCAAAACTGCTGTTAAATCCCACACAGATATACAACCATCTGTAGTGGCACTGAACAGCAACAAAAGCCTGAGACAGAAAGAGGACAAAGGAAAATAAGTTTAAGAAATTTTAAAATATGGAATAAGTGTTTGATAAAAGTATATCATATCCTTACTTTCTGTCCTGAGAGTCCTCCGGCTTGTAGGTGGCGACGCTGAGCACACACCTCTGATGGTAAAAACACTCCCAAAGCATGTCAACACTCCTACTGCTCTCAGTCACACTGAAAAGCCTACAAATGAAAACACACAGTCTCAATACATTAATTATAGAATGTTTAAACATGAAACTCTTTTAAATTCATATGTTCATAATCTTTATCCAAGTTACCTTACTGCACCATCACTACAGCCCAGAGCCAGCAGGACACATTCAGTCCCATTATGCACAACAGCCATAGACATGTACCTGCAAACGTGAGAAAGCATTTGCACAATAAAATCATAATGTAATCTCTCACAATTACCCCCTGTACATTGTATTGTCCGCCCTCTGGTGGTTAGAAATCTTTAGCTGCAACCAACAATCAAACAACATTGGACCCAATTGATTTTCATCCTATAGGCATGAAAAAACAACACTGAAACATTTTCCAAACTATCTTCTTCTGTGTTCTACAGAAGAAAGTCATACAGATTTGGAACATCATCAAGGTGAGTAAATGATGACAGAATTGTTCTTTTTGGGTGAACTATCCCTTTAAGAATTATTTGAACTCTAGATCAAAACTTGGAATGGAGAGAGTATTTTCACATATACAGGTGCATCTCAATAAATTAGAATGTCATGGAAAAGTTCATTTATTTCAGTAATTCAACTCAAATTGTGAAACTCGTGTATTAAATCAAACACACACGCACCTTGTCTCTGGATCCATTTTGACAGTCTTGTGTCGGTTCCGCTTCCGTTCCCACTGTTCATCCAATCGATGGCCAGCTATTTGAGTGACCTGACAGACTGGCTGACCCTGCTGCTCATCCAAACGAATCAAGAGCTGGTAACACTGCAGCTGGGCCCGGCCACCCGCAGAAAACACCAAAGAAGAGACAGAGGAGGTATCGTCATCTCCCCCTTTTTCCTTAGTTTCTCTTCTTCTGATTGCAGCCAGCGCACGAACATTTGAGATATGGTCCGTTAGAACTGAAAGCACTTTAACAGTTCCACTCTCTGGACTGATGGCGAGTACACCTACTGTGGTATCCTCCCCTCCGGTAACAAAAACTTCCCAAAGTTCTGAAAATTGTCCAGTCTTGGTCAGACTACCAAGGTGACAAACACAGCTGATGCCTCGTCCATGTAGCCCCTCTTTCAGTGTGCGTCCATTCACATCGGTTTCTGTGGATGCTAATGAGCGTGATGCCATGACAGCTCCGTGCTTGATGAACACAAGGGTACCTTGTCCAAGTGTATGTGCTTGAGGATCTGTGTCGGCGTATATCGGGCGTTTATAGGACCAGGATCGATGGCCGCCTCCACAGGCAACTGATAAAAGCTTCTCTTGTCTGTGAGGGTCCCATATAATGAAGTGGACCGAATGGAAGCCAACCATTACAAACCGAGTTTCGGCTACGCTTGCACTCTCTCGATCGATCGTCCTCTTCTCGATTCTCTCATTCAGCAACTTTTTCTGTACCTCAGGTCCATCCGAGCCCAGAAACAGAACTTTCTCTATCCACTCCATGCCTCTGCAGGCCCGTTGAACTCTACGTACCTTCAGGACGTTCTCTTCAACAGTTAGTATTCTTACAGATCCATCTCGACCTGTACTGTAACATAAGTCTTGATACTCACACACAGAAGTCACACCTTGCTTTCCATGCACTCCATAAAGGGTACTGATGGGAGACAGAGGACTATCATGGTCTGTTTGCTTGTTTTCAGTTTCTTGCTCTTGTAAGTCTGTTCTTCCTTCATTTCTTCTGTCATTCTCTTCTGTTTCAGTGTAGAGCAGTAGTGACCCTCTCCGGTCACCACACAGGTACAACCCCTTTCTCTGGGACAATGTAACTGCAGCAGTCAGCCAGCGTTTGGCACAGGGTGGCAACAGGAATGGAAGAAGAGTTTCCTCTTGCATATGCAAGCCTGATTCATCCTCTGTCACTTTTATTGTCCATCGGTAAACCAGTCCCTCTGAGCCTGACGCAAGAAGACACCAACTCCAGGACCCTTCAAACAATCCTTTGGCCCAAAGTACAGAGTGAACTTTACCTTTGCCAGCTCTTAGCAAGACTCCCACACCTGGCTGCCCTACAAGGAACACCTGTACACCTCCGTTCAGATTACCCACTGCACACAACCACACAATGCAATCTGAATTCTGGACTTGGATGCTTGTGATCTCCATCACACAATAGGACTGGAATTCTGCTCCCCCTCGCCAAATGACATCCCAGGAGTCACCCGGACTAAGGTACACCTCTCCTTGATCGGTACAGACCAGAATTGTATTCAATTCACCCTCACCCACTAATCGGACCACTTTGGGACAACCCTGCCCCTTAAACCCCAGATCCAACTGAGTCTCTGCCTGAGTTTCCTCACAGTATTTCTTCTCCTCTGCCACTCTCCATACTCTTACCCCACCATCTGCACCTCCAGTAGCCATCCATCCCTCCTTACAGCCTATACTTCCCTCGCTGACAGCCAGAGCCCTCACTCCACCTGACCTATGCCCTCTAAATGTACGTCCCACCTTTCCTTCACCTCCCCATTCCCAGAGCAGGCACGCTCCATCTTCTCCTGCACTGAACACACGGTTTGGTGCAAGCCTGACACAGAAGACCCGTGCCTGGTGCCCATAAAGCACACGAAGACATGTTGGCGATTCCTCTCCACAGCCTGCATCTCCACCCAACGTGCCGACACTCCACAAACGGACACTGCGGTCATCTGAGGCAGATGCCAGCCACCCAGATTTCTGAAGGTAGCAAAGGCTGAAAATAACTCCAGTGTGGCCCAACAGGCGTCTCTCTACCTGGGACTGCCCATCAGGTTTGGTCCCTGTGGGCCTCCACAGCACAAGCTGATTGAAAACAGTCCCACCTACCATCACTAAAGAATTCCAATTTGGACCAATCATAAGTGCTGAGTAGATAAGACATGTCTCTACGCAGGAGTAGAAGGAAAGAACATTACCAGATTCTGCATCTAAAAGCAACACAGCATTGTGAGCCAAGGATATGCCTAACAGTGGGTGTGGTTGTTTTTTTAGCCAATTAATGTCCAGAACCCAGTCTTGAAGCTCCAAGAGAGGACCAATGAGCTTTAGGCATCGTCCTCCAGTATTGAAGCTGACAAGCCGAACTCCTTTTCCTCCAAAAACCATGATGTCCTCCTTGTCGCTGTCCAAAACAGAACTTTCAGATGAGATTACATTGTTGAACTGTCTCTCTTCAAACTTATGTTTTCTACTAGGTCGTATCCCATGGATGCGGTAATTATGAAGAACATTTAAGGATGCACATTCTTTAGGAGATGCCTGAAGACTGTACACAGAGAGGACTGGTCCCTCACCTACAAAATGACACAATTAACAGGAAAGAATTTATCAAATGAACATGAATATTTTCATTAAGATAAATACACAAATGCACATTATGGATATTAAGAGACATTTGAGCATTTCCCAAGCACATGTTCCTATTAGTATAAGAATAAGGAAATTTAGCAGAGGAAGTAAACTCAGATCATCTTTGCCAGGATACAAAACTCAGCAGAAAAAACACCTCAAAAATGGCCCACGAGTCATAGTCTGCATACTTTAATCCAACATGGATTCTTAGTTTGATGTTTTGCTACCTGTTCATTAAATGAATGAAGGTCAGTCACCTGTCAGCAGGAAATCCTCCCCCAGGAATTCCAGTGCAGTCACTGGAGCAACAAGCACAGTGCTCTTCATCACAACAAACTCTACAAGAGATGCCATCTCAAGCGGTCTGAACAGCAGGCTGAAGACTTCTGGAGCAGAACAGAATCATTACAGCATTATTCACTATTGTCCAGTAAATGAAACTGAATTAAATGCATACTGTTTGCAATGGCTTTTACTATCCACTTTTTCCTAACAAGCCTACTGGGGATAAGTTCCACTCAAAAAGACTGAATATAATGTTGTGCTTCAAATAATTATGATGAGCTGCAAATTTTTCTTCATGTTTTATTTTCAGACTGCAGGAGAATACCATAACACTTGGCATTTTAATGTGACATGGTATAACAACAATATCTATGGCAAAAGCTCTTTTCAGTCCACTGCATTCTCCTCCATCTGATTATTTTCTTTTTTTCCTTTCTATTCTGCTTTAACAATACAAAAAAAGACAACATATATACTACAATTTTGTGGTCTGCTCTCCCGATTTAATTTACAGTATATCCCATGAATAATTCACTAGAATGCACTAAAAATTAAATTGTCTCCAAAAATCTTCACGTCTCTTTCCCGGTTTGTTTTCACATGGATGGTTTAAAATGTAATTGTGTCCCCATTTTACTTCTAATCCCAATTAACAGTTTTTCTTATAATGTTACTAAAGAAGGTAAATGCAATATTTGTCAGCTATCAGAAGTATGGAAATCACTTTGTAATATTATCACTCAATGTTAATGCGAATGAACATTTTTGTATGTTGCATATAATATATACAGATATTACCACAGTGATTAGCATCTCCGTAATATTGCTGCAGAAATAATTGCTTTTAATAGCTTTTGAGGGTATTTGTGCTATGTTGAAAGTAATTTGTTAATGCTTTTACACTTTTAAATATCCTCCTAATTTTCGATTGCTGGGGTTCACAAAGGAACTGTTTGTGAGCTATTAATTAATTAAACACTAAAATGTAAAATTTTAATTAATAATTTTAAAAACATCCTAATAAATATATCTAATGCTGTGCACACCTGAATCATGCGTATTTCTGTGGGATGAAAATACAATATAAACTAGAAAAAATATTTTAGAAAAATAATCCCACACACTACTTAAACTTGAATACATTAGTACTGTATTTGATTAAAATACATTTTTATATATTAGATATATTATATAAAATAAAATATTTTGTGAAGTGCTGGGGATTAAAAACAATAATAATTAAACCTTGACTAAAAAAGATTACATTTTATTTAGTTTAAGTTAACCATACACATGTGAATGTATGGTTAAATAAAAATCTCAAAGGAACTTCAAATAAATACAACTAGGTCAAACAACATTAATTGTGTAATTTAGCCCAGGACTAAACTCACCATGTTGGAAAATTCATATTAAGCTGGTTGTTGTGTTTTGGAACATAACAGTTTGGTTCCTAACTTTTCTGAGACAATTATAAAATGCCCCAATCTGGTCATTACCTGCTCCAAATACTACTGAAATGACCAGCTAACATTTTCCAAAGGACAACTATTATAAAGTGTGTTTTTCTACAAAGGATCGACGGAGGACCTACCCATTTATTGAAAGAATGAACGTCAGTCATCATCTGTCAACAGGACAGTTAACGTTACCTTGAAATGAATTTTCTAGCAGGGATCTGTCTGATTCTGCATGTTTGTCATCGTAACAACAACCCTGTCAAGTTCAGTTTGACTTACGCTTCCCCTGTAGAGATCGTGTCTTTATTTTTCGAGGAGGTGAAATGGAAAAGTGAGGTATTTTCTTTCATACTAGTTCCCAGCATGTTTTGTGCTGCATGCATGTGTTCTCGCTTCCTCGTTGTCATCGCGCAGCGTCCAATCGCGCTCCTCAATACTGCACAGACCGCACCACGCTCGCCGTCAATTGGATGAAACGAGTCCTGCGCTTTCTACTGTAAAAAACGCGTAGATTTGTGCATTTGCCTGATGCACAAACCATATGTATTGAGTGGATCTCATGAGAATGGTATACAAATCATATAAAATGCACAAACCAGTGAACTGCCTTTTTTTTTTACGCCCGGAGCGTCATTTTGCGCATGTGTCTCCAGTCTGTTGTTTAAATTTCTTACGGACCGCTTAAACCCCGGGGGTGGGGACAAAGTGTAATATTTTCAGGATAAAATCGTCAGACTGATGATTGCATGTAAGTAGGGTCAATATAAATAATATAATATCAGTTTGTCATAAGCTGTTGTGTAAATGCATGATAGATTCATTAAGAACTGAGCTCTAGCTGTAGTCTTAAATCGCAGCTCAGGTTCACTTCTGTAGTGCGATGCTCGGGTTTAGCGCTGTGGCTAACGAGACCAGCGGATCCATAATAATAGTAATATTAATAAATGCAGCTTGTTCCACCTGCACCTGAATTATATGGCGAATCGGTGATTTTGAAGGCTTGTTTCTTCTTTGTTCATTCTTGCATTTAATAGCGATGCGATTCCTGAACGAATTGTTGAGTCTGACCGTGTCAATGAGTCGGTTGAATTAGTTCACAAAAATGGACTGAACGATTCGTTTTCGAAACAACCTGAATGAATCGATGAGTGAGTTGATAATGAAAACATTTGGAGTGAACCAAAAATGTTGGTTAAATCACTTCAGTAACTAAATAGCTGTATTGTTACAAATAAAATTAATTGGAAACACTACTTTGTATTTTGACAGTTTTATCAACATACATATTTATCACGGTTGATTTTATCAAGTGCATAAAATACAAAAAAAAAAAAATTGTGCAAAAACATTTCATCCAAGAGATGTAAACGAATGTTATAACAATATAAATATACATTATAGTTAAATTATACGTTTTTAAAAATTTATTTTTTTATTAGCTGCATAATGGTTGTAAAACCTGAGACACATGAAATTACAATAAACGCTTTTATCAACAAAACGACGACGTCAGTAGAATAATTGCTGAACTGTTATTTATCAACCGACTCTTTGAAACGAACTTTTCAAAAGAACCGATTCTCAGAAATAAATTCGTGGAGCACACATGAGGCGAAGATCAAATTTTTCATTAATTCTTCCAAGAGGAGGAGCAGATATTAAGTTTCAAAAACAGCAATTATTCCCTTCATTTTGTTTTCTGTCTGCTGAATTACAGACTCCACATGTGTACCTGGTGACCCCTTGCGCATCAGGTGGATCCCGGATGCATTTCCGTTGAACATTGAAGCCGTTTACCTGTGGCATCCAGAGTTTAACATATCACTGCAACTGAAACTCTGAAAGTGTTCTGCACATGACGACACCAAACCAACCTCACCTTCCTGTAATGCTGGAGTGTAAGACTCAAAAACTAACACTGTGATACTGCAAATGTTACCATGTAAAAGTTTTCAAACTAGACTGTTCTGTTGAAGATAATACTAGTGCGATACTTTGTAGATTTTCTACAAATGAAGTAACACACAGTACCTCGATATAAGCCTTCTTACCCAGTTACACACAAATACACTCATGCTGACCACCATGACGTACCGCATGCCAAACTTCACTCTGGAGCAGAAGCTTTTCCTGCTTCGGAGAATCCATGCGGTGGTGGACACAGTCCAGGACTTTCGGAAAGACACCAACACTACTGTGCACCGGAACGCTGTATGGGCAGAGCTGGTTCAGGCCTTCAATGCGGCGTTCCCTAGTCGACCCCCCAGCAGCATCGGCTCTCTGAAGACACTGTGGAAACGGCTGAAGGTGGAATGTCGTGTTGGGCTGCAGAAGCGACAGGAACAGCAGGCAGCCGGGCTTCCTGTGTCTGCCCTCACTCAGGTAAACTGAATTATAGAAACATAAGACTTCAGTTATATGCTTTGGAAATTCTAGTAGCACACAGTGTGGTTGTGTGTGGTTCTTGTCAGGTGCAGAGAGAAGTGATTGCCCTGGTACCGAACCTCATCTCCTGTCTGGAGGAGGTAGACGGAGATGGCAGCTATGCCTCGGTTAGGGGTAGCTCACCTGGAGCAGGTAATTAATAGTCATGTCATCTCTATTACAGGATGAAATACTACCACTCTTCCCAGCTGCCAGCTCTGTAATTATACAAGGAAGGAGATTAATTGAGTCATTCTCTCTCTTGTAGTGATGGGGCTTTCAGGCACTAATGGGAGTGAGCATGAAGATGCTGACCACAGTCAAAATGATGTAAGAATGAAATCAGCCTTGAAAGGATTACTAAAGTACCTCTTAAGTTAAACGTTTTCTTTTATATTGCAGATTTTATTATAAAAATATGATTAACTCTCTTATGGCATGCTTGCATCATTATTTTATAATGTAAAGTGTTACCATTTTACATGCAGTAAACAGGAAATGTGGTGAAAATGTAATATTAATGTATTTATTCATTTATAAATATAAATATTAATTTATAATTATATACTGAATACACTACCATTCAGATGTTTTGGGTAAGATTTTTTTAAAAGAAACTGACAGTAAAGACATTTATAAATAAAATAAAAAATTCTATTCATCAAAGAATCCTGAAAAAAGTAACCGTTTCCACAAAAATGTTAAGCTGCACAACTGTTTCTAACATTGATACTAATAAGAAATGTTTCTTGAGCATCAAATCAGCATATTAAAATGATTTTTGAAAGAACATGTGACACTGAAAACTGAAGTAATACTGTAGCTGCTAAAAATTCAGATATGCCATCACAGTAATGACATTGTAAACTATTTTAAAATAAAATGTTATTTTAAATTGTAATAATATTTCACAATATTGCTGATTTACTGTATTTTTTCTCAAATAAATGCAGCTTGGGTGAACATAAAAAAAAAAACATTAAAAAATTCTTATTAAATAAAACAATTAATTTAGCTTTTTATTATAAAGCTGATATATACTATATATAAACAATTTTTTATTATATGAAGATATATAAATATAACATTTTTAAAAGGGTAATTTTTGTCATATGCTGTGTTCCATACACTAGGCATATACATTTTCACCAGTGTTGCATTCATTGCAAATTTCCTGTGTTTACTGCATGTACAATGCATGCATGTATACTCTCAATATAGCATGCCGCTTTGAGCCTTATTACATAAATGTACAGCAATTATGATGCTATTAAACTTCTGTTTTTTACAGGAAGTAGACAGCAAGGAGAACTTAGCCACTGAACTTGGATTGGTCTCACCAACTCACCCACCTGTTAACTCTGGGATTCCTCCTGGCACTGCCTCCTCTCCTCTCCACTCACATTCACTCTCTTCCAGGTCCAGCCGTCCCTCCCTCATCTACTCAACCCATGCAGGACTGGGATCAGGGACTAGGGGTTCAAACTTTGATACCCCACACAGAGAGTCTGTGGTGCCACGTGCTCCTGCCGGAGGAGCAGTTGAGAATTCATTACCGCCAATGGACTCTTATACCTCAAACTCGAAATGGGAGGCACGTCGACAGGAACTATTTGAGCTGGAGCATCAACAGACGATGAGTCTGTTACTGCTGCAGCAGTGTGTGTGGGAGGAGAAGAGGAAAGCAGTGAGACAAAAAGAGAAGGCGGCGCGGGCCAAGAAGAGATATTATCAAGCCAAACTACGGAAGATCGGCGCAGATCCTCCACCTTCCAGTAGTGACAGCGAGGATAACGAATATCTACAGACTTGAACTCAGATGTTTATGGCATCTTAGCTATGTTTGCTTTCTTTTTGAAAGTCATTTTTTATTCTCTGTTTATTTACAAAACAATATATTTTTTATTGTGGACTAAACTTAATTGGTGTTTAGGAATGTACCATGTGTATCATATGGAGGGGGGAATTCACTCGAGCAGGCTTTGTTCCAATAGCTAATACAAATCTGATTTCCTTTCATATTCTCTCTCATCAACACTGATGCTGCATTCCATTCAGTCAAAAGTGGGATAGTTAAAGGGATAATTCACCTGAAAATTGAAATTTATAATTTAGTCACCCTCATATTGCTCCAAACTGTGTGACTTACTTTCTTCTGTGCAACACAAAAGAAGGTATTTTGAAAAATGCCTCAGTGTTTATTTTGTCCATACAATAGAAGTAAATGGGTCCAGTGCTGTTGAAAACAGTTGAAATATTTCTCAAAATATCTTCTTTTGTGTTCTGCAGAAGAAAGTAAGTCATACATGTTTGGAGAGACAAAAGGAGAAGTAAATGACAACAGAATTTTCTCTTTTTTTTTGGATGAACTATCCCTTTAAAGGCGCTCCATAGTCCGACAGACTTAGATCATGACATATAAAGAATCAAATCGTAATGCTAATGTTAGCGTCGCAATTGTCAACAAAGAAGCCTTTTAGCATCCAATTTGCAGAGGATAAACAATGCTATGCAATGCTAGCATTTGTTTTACATGAGTAAAATTATCGACATAAAAGCTCATTTACCATTTTTTTACAAGCCTGTAAGGTTTTATTATAATGTAAATGTAATTACTTTGACCTGTTAATTAATTTAATTTGCTTAAAAGAGTGAATGTTTATCATGCACTGTGTCTATCTGGGTCTCGTGTTTAAGTGATATCATATAACAAAAACAACCGAAAATCTTATGTTAGGGAAGTATTCCAAATGAGAAATTGGAAATTGGAGTGCAATAGTCGAACACGTCCATCTAGTGCATGTTAACAATGGAAAAGCAGCGCAGTGGAATGCAAAAACAGGCCAGAACTGAGCAGTGAGGAGATGTTTAGTCCTGATACTTGTGCTTGATGAGAAGAGGAAATTAACTGAAATGAGATTTCTAATGTTACTGTATAGCATTTTAATTTAATGCTTGTGGATCAAACCAAGGATTGATTAAGGTTCTCCAAGGCCCCTGTTTGATGCTATATGCATTACATTACAAACATTAAAAATGACTGTGGTAAGAAATTACACTGCAAATATGAGGTGAGAAAATATACAGAAGATACAACATTGCAACCTCCATGTGTGGAAAACATTTCAGAGGTCATTGCCAGTCCATAATCTAGCCTTGGATACAACTCATCTGACTGTTTTAGGACAGCGTCTTCAGGACCAACCTTTAGATTCAGTTCACCGTAGCTCATTTATACTATGCAGGTTTTTTTCAGGTAAATAAGTGCTTCTCTTAAAGTGACTTCCTACTCATGGAGTGCTTGAAGTTAGTTCAGTGTTGTTGATTTACTTGTGTTAGTATACAGTGTTTGGGAACAGAATACTTTGTTCTTTTTCAAAATATGAAAATCTTAAAGGTCTAAAATGTAAATTCTGTCATCATTTTCTTACCCTCATTATGTTCCAAACCTTGGTTCCATGTTGTATGAAATAAAATCACACAGGTTTGGAACAACATGAGGGTGAGTAAACGATACTTTCATTTTAGATGAACTGTCTTTTAAGGAATGTTACAACAGTAGACTGGAAATTGAGTGTGTAAACCAGTGAAACAGAATGTTAGACTGAATTAAACTAGTGAGAACCTTCCACTGTAAAAGCAGATGTAAAATTTACATTTAGATGTAATTTCATTTGATTTGACTGAAATTCAGAAAAATGTGTAATGTGATAAACAAGTTACATTTTTTTAACCTTAGAAGTGTTTGTCTTGAATATATAAAAAAAAAAAACATACAGAAACGTGGTAGCAATAACTCTTTTATTGACGCCCAACGGGTCTCACTTTCCTCTCCCATTGGTAGCAGATTTTTTTTCTGAACACCCCCATAAGTAAAAGGGATACAACATGTCCCACATTAAACATGTTGAGCCATTATACATTCCCCTTTTCTCTCTCCCACCCAATCATTGTCTTCTACCGCTCTCTCTCTCTCTCTCTGATGGACAGAGGACATTTCTTTTCCCAGAATGCATTGTGAACAGAAGAGAAGGGGGACATATCAGACGATACATGTACAAACGTTTTCACACATAAAACATTTGAAACATTAAATCTCGCTCTTATAAAAAAAACAAAACTCCCATACGCACTTCTTTATAAACACTCCAGCCACGATTATGGTAGAGAAATGAATTTCAATAAATATTAATAAATAAAATAAATTAATTTAATGGCTGTACAAGATAAAGTTATGCAGTAATAAATAAAATATAAAACCATGAATAGAAAAAGTACTGGAGCACTTTATGACAGGTAAGAGGTATAAAAGGGATGATATAGGGCACTCTTTTTGGCAAAACTCATGGTAATACTGCAAATGACTAAAGAGATAAAGTCATATGATGAAGCACGATTTCCCTTTTAAACAGGAGCTTGATATTTTGAAATCATCTCACCTTAATGGTTGTATTTAGCTCATTTTACAATGTTCCTTCCTCTGAAGCACTAAGATTGTTCAATACTCCACAGAGACAATAATGACTGATATTTAGATATGCTCTCCTTGTTAGAAAAGAAATCAAAGATGGAATAAATATCTTCTCCTGAATAGCTGATTTGGGATCGAGTAACATTTCCTTAAGCAATGTTTGAATTCTGATAATCCTGGATCTGAAAGAGGTCTTAATTATGCTATGATGTCCTGTAGGCTAGTTACATGAATGATTAAAAGGTGTCTTCACACAGCTGTAACAAACTTCAACACATGCTTCGATATTATTTCAGAGCAGTTTGGCCAAAAATATTACAGAAACTGGACAGGCATTTCATACAAGCATGAGTTTGTTGGGGTTTGTTGAAGAAATGGGTTTAGATCAAGCTAAAACCTTCCAATCAAGTCACCTGTCTGAAAACAATCCATTGACTGACAATCATTACGGTCCAAACATATCTTCTGTTTCATAATTCTTTATAATTACAATCACTGTCTCTGGAGTTTCCCGCCAATCCCATGTTTGGGCCAATAAGTTCTGCATTTACACGGACCAATCCTTTTCTTTGTAGACTCTCTCCGGTCTATCAGTGGGTGTGGCTTGTTGCATAAACACATGTTGGAGTGGAAAGATTGGGAATGTATGGGACTGTTTTGGCTCGGAATGGGTTTGAAAATGATTTTTTCGATCCTACCCACTTAAACACATATCCACACAATCTTCAAAAACATCACTAGAGATTTTTCTTCTTTGATCTTTGATGAAAAAGATACAAAAAAGTATAAAAATGTTCTGTACAGTTGTTTTTCCTCTCTCTCTTTGTCTCTGACCAGCCCTCTCAGCTGTTGGTCTGAAATCTGAGGTTTGTAGTTTGGATTAATTGAAAATCATAGAAATCATCACCTTCTCTGGTTTGATTTCCTGTCTGTTCTCAGGAGGGTGATGTCTCAAGCCCTTGACGAACAACTTCACTCTCATGTCCTATGCTTTTCCCAGGGTGAAGTACAGTAGGAGTCCTGAACGCTCCGGTTGGCTATGTCCTGTGATTCTTGAGCCCATCTGCAGAGGTGCATTATGGGACTGCGAAGGAATCATCAAGATTGTCCATCACTTCTGTTAACTCTAAAAAGAGAAAAAAGAAAAAGACAGAACAGGAAAATTGTCAATAATGGCATCCTGTGCATAATATTTTTGAAGGGGCACCAGTGGTAGCTCACTTAGTGCTATTTTTATTACATATTTATATCTTTCATTTATATACAGTGGTGGCCAAAATAATTAGAACACTAGTATTTTCACCAGCTAAAAAATGGTTTTAAGTCAGTTATTTCTATGTTTTGATGTAGTGTGTCAGTAGGAAATATCAGTTTACATTTCCAAAATTAATTATTTTAATAATGTTATGCTGTCCACATACACACACACATTAATATTTTCTAATTTATATATTTATTTTGTTTAGGATGTTTTTATTTTTAATAGCAATTTTCATGTTTCATGTTTTTTTCAAAAAATTAAAGAGCAAAAAAGTAAACCACACAAAATTTGCAACGGATCACCATGCGTTTTTCTCTATGGAAAAGAGCAGCTTTGACATTTTGTAACTGAACAGAACCAAGGATGACCATGAAACAAATGAGGAATACAAGAGGAGGCAAAATAGGGGCTGGACTTACTCAGAGTCAGGTGACACTTCAGAGACGCTCTGAGAGGTTGCAGAGAGAGGAGGCGGGGAAGGGGAGGGGCCTGCCAAGGCAGAAACAGGGTTAGGGGGCGGGGTTAAGACAGAGGAGCTGAAGGAGGCGAGTATGGAGGAGAGGATATCCAGGTGTTCACTAGAGGGCGGGCGACTGGATGGAGCTCCAGGTGCAGCTGCAGATGGCGGGTACCTACATGGGGGGGCGGAGTCTAGGCGACCGCGGCGAGAGGGCAGGGTTTCCTGGGGTTCCTCTTTGATTGGTGGAGGGGGTGAGGAGGGTGGGTGTGGCTCAGGGTGTGAGAGCTGTCGGGGCGGCAGGGTTCTCAGCCACTCCCTGCAGGGCTGCGCTCCGCCGTTAGATTC